TGCCTGGGGAATTCTGGAAGTTGAAGTCCACGCGTCTTAAAGTTGCCAAGATTAAGAAACCCTGCCCTAGAAGGCCAGATTCACCATCCCAATGTAAGGAGTGAGTGAGAGGGTGATACTAAATGAGTTCTAGTTTGATCTAAGGCAACATGAACATAAAAAAAGTTGTGCAGCTACCTTAGTCAGATCTAGTAACAGGGAAGAGGGAAGAACTCAATATATAATACTTTACCAATGCTGTTGGTAATGTTCTCCTACTTCCTATTGGCAACACTTTCTGTTGAGTCAACTTAACAGCCACGATTTTGGTCCATTTCTCTTACCAAGGTCTGGTATTGCGATACATATACTTGTGGTGGATCCACTTGGCTTCATAAGGACCTCCCGCTACTATCCACAGTGGCTTCATCTGCCATGAGCTTTGGCCCTTATTCACCTGCAGAGAAATCCTGGGAACATCATGATTACTTTTGCAAATGGCATTGTTGTTAGAGACTGTTAAGGCACTGATGTTCTTTGTCCTTTCCAGAATGGCTGGATCAGCAAGAGTTTGAGGGTCCATCATCTGATGTGAAGATTCTTCAGGAGCATGGGCTGTCTCTTCCATCTGCCTAATGATCATTGGTTCTGGATGATGGGGACTGCTCAGAGGAGTGCTTTTTGGCCTAAGGGAGAGAAAGAGGAGTTATCTAAATAGATCAGGGAAGATAAAAAATCAGGCAGATAATTATAATGGTTTATAGCTTTTACAGTACTTTTTAAAATGTCCAAGCTACTTTGGTAACCTGACATCCATTTGGTAAAGTGGGTTAGTTTTGCTATTCCTATAATACAAACTGCTGGAGGGGAAAAAGAAGATGAAGCAGAATTGCTCCAGAAGATAGGACAAGAAACAATGGGTTTAAATTACAACAGAATAGATTTTGGTAGGGCATCAGGAATAATTTCCTAATGGCAAGAGCTGCTCAACAATGGAACTGACTGACAGGTGGTGAACTCTGCTTCATGGGAGATGTTTAAACAAAAACTGGGTTTCCTTCTGTGTTGGATGCTATAGTAGTGGATTCTTGAACTGTGTTACAACAATACTAACTCTGGTTGGTGTAAGTGTGGTTGTAGTTCAACACATCTGGAGGGCGCTGAACTGGGGAAGGCTCTGCTGTGTAATTTTTCAATACCAAACCAACCCCCATCGCTTCACAGCAAGTCTCTCTAGTTCGTTTGCTGATGCTGCAGTGTTCTGTTTATAGTATCATTGCAGGCTGAGCTATCAAGGTCCACCTTTCTGACCCTCTGTGATTCTTTGGAAATGAAGATGAAAAGAAACAATAGAGGGAGAAAGGGGAAGACTTACCTGCTCTCTGATCTCTGAGGTGCTTTTGATAAATCAGGGCTATCCTTTACATCACCTAGAAAAGTAGGAGGAAGCCAGGAACAGATACCATTTTACTAATGCATGCTACACATGGTAACCTCTGTGTTCTAATCTGAGAAGGCAGTTTAGTGTGCCAAAATTAAAGATTGTTCCAGATGAGACTTCAATCATATAACCATTCTGCTTCATTCATGGACATTATCTTCTCCTGCTGTAACCTTTCCACACTTTCCCATCGTTTCTCCTGCCTTTTTTTCTTACAGAAAGCTGATGGATAGCATTAAGAATCCTCTGCTTAAGCTGGCCAAACCTAGTTTTATGGCAGGAAAACTACTACCTCATGTTCAAATCCCATTAAATAATCTAACTTGCATGACTGAGCTTGCATTACACACAGGGAAAATTTGAAATGGAGAGCAACATTCAGTATCTTGAGAATCCTAGCTTCTGCAATTTTTGTTTTGAATGAACACCCAGGATATCGTTTTCTAAATAAGAAGAGAAAAGGCTGCCTTAAATACAGGTCAGGGTACCTGTCCCACCTATGCCAATATTATTTATTCAGTGACTGAGAGCCATGTTTTCCACATAGAGGTCCAACTTTCATTCTCAGTCAATGGATCCACTTAACAGGATTTTGGGAAAAAATTCTACCTATCAGCTTACCTAGGCTACCCTGGGCTAGATGGTCCAAAAAGATGACTCAGAATATGGAAATTTCTTATTTTTTCACAACCAAATTAGGCAAGCATGGTAAAGATCTTCACAGGCTTGAGGGTACTCTAGCCATTGGATGAAGTCATATTTCAACAACAGTAATTTTATTGTGGGCGTTTCATGTTTTGGGAACTCTCATTTTTCCCACCCATTTTTTGAATGTGGCCTTAGGCAAGCCAAAATGCAGACTTCAGCCCCCAACGGATCGCATATCACCCCTTTACATATTCCGAAATTGTGTTAGGTAAGATTGATAGCTAGGTGTAAACATGGAAAAACAATTTACACCTTTCTCCTCCCTCCACACTCATCAGATGTCACTCACTTGATCTTTTCTCAGGGTCTTCTGCACTTTGGGCAGAGTTCTTGAAGCGGCTGTAGGAACACTTCCGAGCTATCAAGATGTCCTTTTGAGAGCTCTCCCTGGAGGAAGGGAGGGGAAAAACAAGCAGGGGGTGGAGATGATGAGGCAGCAGGAAGCAATGCGTGGGGCAGGAGCATCAAGCCAGAATGCAACAAGACAAAGTATGTGATGTAGGGGAAAGATGCATGGAATGGGATCAAGATGGTGGGTGGACCACAGCTTTCCTTGCTCAGGAAAGATATTTATGGCATTTTTATACCTCTCATCAACACATCTTAAAAAGGCATCCATAAAAAAATTTAAACACTGTTCTACTATCCATCCATCTAAAATACAACTAAAATTCATCAAAAACTAACATGTATGTTATGCTACAGCCTTGGAAAAGGAGTGAGAATATCTACCATTGGCACAGCAGACAGGGGACACATTTGGGCAAAAGGCAGCAGAGAGAGAATCTCAAGGTGTTGGAAAGACTCCTGTTCTTTTAAGGCTGTATCTGCTGGAATCTACCATCATTTTGGACACATCGTGCAAAGTTAAGAATCATTGGAGAAGATGCTGATGCTTTGAAAATCAAAGGTGATTAGAAAAAAGACTAACAGCAGACAAGGTGGCTAGATACTCTCATTGATTACACAAGCATGAGCTTACAAGAATCCACAGAAGCAGTTACAGGTAGTCCCCAGTTTAAGAACAAGTTCCATTCCCAAGGTCTGTCCTTAAGTCGAATTTGTATGTAAACTGGAATAGTATTACTGTATAATACTGTATTGGTAATATTGTATAATGAACTCAAATCACTGTGTATTTAACTCGAATTTTGCTACAATAGGCTCCATTCCAGGTTGTCTGTAACCTGGGGGTTCTTAACCTGGGGACTACCTGAACTAATAGACAATCCTGGCAAAATGATGTCACAAAGAGTTAGGAGTGACTGAGCATTATCGGTCTCACATCTGATGTTCAGCCCAGCCAGATAATACTGTAGACTTCTGCTACCACAATACAAGTAGTCCTCACTTACTGATGGTACCTGGGACTGGGAACTCCATCGCTAAGTAACACGGTTATAAGGCGCAATGTCACATGACTGCACCAACTTATGACGGCAGTTCTGCCAATCCCAGTTGCCATTGTTAGGCGAATCTTGCGTGGATGCAGCATCCCATGGTTACGTGATCGCCACATTTGCGACCTCCCGCCAGCTTCCCCATTGACTTTGCGTGTCGGAAACCAGCAGTGAAGGTTGCAAATGGCGATCATGTGACCGTGGGATGCTATGATGTCATAATTGTGAGCCGGTTACCAAGTGCCTGAATCACAATCATGTGACTGTGGGGATGCTGTGATGGCCGCAACTATGAGGATCCATTCTAAGCCCCTCATTCAGCACCATCATAACTTTGATGGTTGCTGAATGAGTGCATGTTAAGCGAGGACTACCCGTACAGAGCCGGAGAATCTTAGAGGCACAGCAGCTACTTTGCTTGCAGCAGCCTACAAGTTATCTGACTGGGCTGGAAGCACTCTAGTGTTCATTTATTGAACTACAACTATATATAGTATAGAGTGCTACTTTTGCTGTATTTTGCTTTTTCACAGATAAAAGTGGGGAGGACACTATCATGGATATGCATGACGGGAAAAGGCTATTATCCCCCCCCTCTCTCTCTCACACACACATACACACACACACAGACCTTAATGCTCACCCCCAACCCTCAGGTGGCTCTGCTGCAGTGCTTGCCTGATTCTGCTTCACAGGTTCAGTCCATGGACTGAGAGAAGACTGGGAAAAAACAATCATGAGTCAATTCTACTAACGTTGGCTACAGTGACTGGGAGGATGGTAGTGGTAATCCAATTCAGCGGAAGGGTACCAGACTGGGGGAGACTGGAATACCCAAGTAATGGACTACAAGATCTCAAAATTCATTAGCACGTATCTCCATTCCGTATTCTGTATCTGCAATAGACTGCATTCTCTTTCTACCAGCATGAGACCAAGAACAGCAGAATGTAATGTAGCATTTTACAAACTGAATGCTTCTGGTTAAAAAATGTGTATTTTATACGCCTGATTGCAATATAACCAACTCCTGAGATCCTGTTTTTTTCCTACCCAAAATTGCCTTGCAGTGGAGAAAGAAGAATACAAGACAGGACATTAGAATCACATCTTAATCTGTTTTTTTTTTTCACTTCATTTTTTCCCTTTCATATTATATCTCTTCAGTCATAAACCATTATTTTAAAAGGCAAACCATCCTGACTGCATTATCAGGAAGATGGCTAATAAGTGATTAGAACATCTAGGCCATTCTCAGTTTTAAGAGTGACTGTTTGTGGATTTTGGCATTGCCAGCAATTTCTTGAGTCTGGAACTTCCTGTGGGGTCCCAAGAGATCTCTACCTGCGTTTGTCCTTCCATGACTCTGCAGCAACAGTGTTACTCAAAAGGCTCCCCCAGGGGGTGAATTTCATAAGAATGGAGAAAACCCACAAAAGTTGCTGATCGGGTACAGAACAATATAAAAAGAAAGACTCACCTTTTGCCCCAACTTCTACTGGCCCATCTCCTCCAACTCTTCATTGGGCCATTCATGTGCTGGAGAAGTGGGCTGCAGAAGTACAACTATAGTTTTTCTAGAAACTAACAGATGGGAATGACAAAAAGACAAAACCACACATTGTAATTTTAAAAAAAAATCCAAACTTTATTATTGAAATGTAAACAAAGGTTCATTATTTGATCACGCCAGACACTAACAGCCAGAGGCAGTTCAGGATCTTGGCTGCTTTGATCAAAAGGGATGGGGAAGAAGAAGGTGGAGTGGCAAACAGGGCTGCTGAAAAACTGCCAGACCAAAAAAGGAAAATGGGGGTGGGGGGAGAGAGAGCAAGAGAAAGAGTGTTCTCCACAACTGAACAAGTTGACATCTATTGCAGCTTTCCCAACTGGGGAATCATGGGACCTGACTTAACACCTCTGGAGGGCACCGTGTTAGGGACGTCCAGCCTATTGTGTTCTACAAGGAATCTTAAATAAAGGCTGTCACTGGGTTGAGGATAGCAGAAGAACTACAATACTGGGTCAAACAAATTTGTTGCAGTGTCTAGCCGGAGGCTCCGAAGATGGGGGATCCAGTGTGCTCCCAACAGACACAGTCTTTGTTCTCAGCACCAGGTCTTCTGTGACAGGCCAGTTCTCCAGGCTTCTGTTATCGTCACTGAAGCTCAGTGTGACTCAACTGCCTGATGTCAGAGGAAGTGATAATCAACTCAAGGGGGGGGGGAGGGAGGAAGCACTTGGCTTCATTTAATCATCCAGAGCCCCCAAGTTTTCATTAAATAAGTAGTTGGAGCAAATATATTGGCCTCAGTGCAAAAACAGGCCTAAAAATGAGCTCTGGTAAAATCTCAGAAGAACCCCAAGCACAAATTAGTACAGTTCAAAGGCAAGGAGGATTTTAATACCCGGACTTCAAATCATTATTATGTTTTTACCCCAACGTTTCCCCAAGCTGCTTGGAAAGTTCCCAAAGCAGAGAGATCTCTACTTGTTTCATCCTTACAGGATGAGGAAATTTGGCTAATAGAGAAATGACTTGATCCAGGTCATCCAACAGGCATCATGACTGAATGGGGGACTTACCCTAAGACTCCTCCATTCCATCACCAATATTTTTCCCAATATTCCTTATCGGTTCTATAATGCAGCCTTTCCCAAAACAATATCCTCCAGATGATGGCTTTCAGTTCCTCAGAATCCCAAGCCACTCTCATAATTTAAAACATCTGGATGGTACCAGGTTGGGAACAACTACTATGGCATCTTGCTTGTTCTTCCACCTGGCACCCTATGGCCTTAGACTACAATGGCCACTACTTCTAGCTAGTACAGCAAACACATCTGGAGAGCTACATCTAACACAACTGGAGAGGTTGGGGAGGGTTAGTACAAATACCAACCATACTGTGAAAGCTAAGCAATTGTGTATTGGTTAGATAAGTTCCCCCCCCCCCCCCCCCACAGTGTTTGAATTAACCTGGCACACATTTGCTTCTCCCCTTTCCTTTCCTTATAACACACAGAACTAAAGGTAGGAACATTTGATTATAATGTAACAATTCTCTGTTTTCCGTGCCTGACTCCTAACAGCTTCCTCTTGACACTACCTACCAATTCTCTCTTCCGTGCCTGCGAAGCTGGACGCTCAGCTCCTAATCCTTCATTTCCTTCTCCTAATCCCTACAAAACCTCTCTCAGTTCAGATCTGAAAATGAAGCTCAGAACGTCAGCTTCTCCTGCTTTGGGGGAGCATGGCCACTGCTCTAGGCTGAAAACACCAAACATGTCCTTTTGAACTACTGAGCAAACACCTAGAACAGTGTTAGGGACTGACCAAAGGGCAAAACCTATCATGGGCAGAATAACATCTAAAAGACAACACGCAACACAAGCAACTGACCACAAAACAAAGAAAGAGAATGGCACAGGGCTGAAATGACGAAGAATTTAACACTTGTATTCCCTAAGTGGGGGCCTCTAGAGCAGGGTTCTTCAACCTTGGCAACTTTAAGACGGGGGGACTTCAACTCACAGAATTCCCCAGCCAGCCTTGCTG